TTTAATTTTAGAAAATAAAATTAAATGTTTTTGGCCCAAAAAGTTAGATATCGGGACGGACAAGCCCAACCCAACCACACACTTGCACCCAAGCCTAACCCAGCTCGCCCGATGCGTGTTTATTTTGGGTCTAATGGGTCTAGCTCACTTTGTCCATAACCTTCCTCTATATAAAACATGGGTGCCCCTTGGGGCCAAACCCAAGTTCCAAACCCAAGTCTTATAAACCCACTCAAAGTTTCCCACCAAATCAATACGGGAGAAGCCTTTATTCAAACATTTAGGAAATTTCACCAAAACCACTATTTCCATGGAGCTCTTTTTGGTTTCAATTTCCCATTCACTCGATTATGGTTTTGAGCAACCAAATATACCACGTGAATTACAATGCGGCATAGAACGCGTTACCACTTAGACCCGCCAACTTTAGCGCATGGATCCCACCTAAAAATTAGACCAAAATTACGAAAAAATCTGATTTTTCCAAAACTTCCAAAACCATTTCTAACATAACTTTTAGTCGATTCTAATTAAAATTGTGCATGCATATAAAACGAAATAGATTTGCTCATGCGACTTAAATGGTTTGCACATGCGGATCAAGGCATGGTCAAAACTTGGTTAAAGTGATATGCTCGTGCGGAAGATGTGGCTTGTACGTGCAGATTGAGTTATGTTCACTTTTTTGTACTTTTTCGCCTCCTTTTGTGTCTTTTTTCCCAATTCTAGGGTTGCATTAGCCTAAAGAATACGAAAAACACTTTATTATATCAAGTATCATTTGCTAAAAGACTAAAAACATAAGTTAGAGAGCCAATAATTGCTTATTTTTCTCTTAATATACATATTAATTTAAGTTTTATTTTTTTAGAAGTTCGAGGTCGACTCATTTATGTAATTTAAGTCGACTCAAATTCAAATTTCTCAAATCTTTTAATGTTAGTGTATGAAAGGTAGGCCGAGAACAAGAATTGGGCTCAACATTAATTTGGACCTAGCTCATAATCAACATGAAACAAGATTTTTTTAAAAAGTACTAAGGGACGACTTGACTAAGAGACTATTATGTGAAACAATATGGCTAGGGAATATACCTTTGACACGGTCACAAGACGACAAAAACCATTAGAATAAGTGATGTCAATAGAATGACACGTGGAGACAAAACAAGATAAGAGAAAATTACGACCACAAAAAACATTTTCACTAGCTATAAATAATTGAAAATGGTGTAGTAAAGGTAAAATGTTATGGGTATTAATCTTACAACTTTGTTATGCCAGTGAATCTAATTTGATCGTTAGAGGGCCTTTGGTTAGCACCATGTGGAGACAAAAAAGAGAAGAGAAAAGCGAGACTATAAAGAACGTTCTCACCACCTATAAATACTGGAAAATAGTGCAAGAAATGTGGGAAATGTTATGATTATTAAAGTTATTAGCTCTGTTATGCTAAGAAATTTAATTTGATCATCAGAAGGCCTTTGACAAGCACCAAACTAGTATGCTTAATATTCTTTCCATTTTTTTTTTTTTTTGGGTGTGTGTATGTGTAGGCATTGAAGCTAAAATCGATTAGGTGAAAGACGTGTTTTCGTTTAACAACCAAACTCAAATTTGATTATTTAAGCTTGGCTTGAACGCAAACCTAATTAATTTTCAACTAGTCAAGTTCACACAAAACTTAACTTGGTTTGTTTATTTGAGAAATTACCAACCATTTTTTATAGAATTTTTAAAAAGGTTACTAAAATCAAAACAATTAAAAGTATACCTAAAATAGCATTTGCAAAACAAGTGATGAATCTATAGTATCTGTGTCACGAACCCCTCAAATTTTGCATAATTTGTACTTCGCTCCTCAACCCTAGTATTAAAACAGGGCTTCAACATCGTCGTATTTAAGAAATCTCTTAACTCTTTGTTTGTTATTTCATGCCACAGTGTGGATGTAATAAACACTCAAAGTCAGTGGTATAGTTGCAAATAAACAAAGTTTATATTATTTTCATGTAAACATTTTATTCTCTCTGTGTTTTTGCATTATCTACATATGGTGCTTTTTATATTTGAAATCAATAACGTCGACGTGGATTCATATCACTCCCTCTAGTAAGGTCCTTCCAAAATCTTGTTGCATAATCATAATATTAAAATGGGAGTTTAACATCATCGTATTTGAGAAATCTCCTAACTGCCACAATGGTGGATGTAATAAACCCGCAAATCGAGGATGCAGTTGCAAATAAAAAAAGTTATCTTCTTTCCATATAAACATTTTCTTTACACATACACTCTCTCTCTTTGTTTTTGCACTATCTATGTGTAGTGCTCCCCATATCTGAAATCAATAACGTTGATGTAGAATTTGAAAAACCTCCTAATTGTTTGTTTGTTATTTCGTGACACAGTATTGGATATTGATAAATACCCAAAGTTAAAGGCACAAATAAAAAAAGTTTATTTTCTTCTTATGTAAACATTTTCTTCTCTCTCTCTCTCTCTCTCTCTCTCTCACAGTTTTTGCATTATCTATATATAGTACTTCCCATATCTGAAATCAATAACGTCGAAGTAGAATTTAAGAAATCTCCCAATTGTTTGTTTGTTACTTCACGCCACAATAGTAAATATAATATATACGCAGAGTCAAAGTCACAGTTGCAAATGAAAAAAGTTTCTTTTCTTTTTATGTAAACATTTCTTCTCTCTCTCTTTCTCTCTCTCTCAATTTTTGCATTATCTATACATAGTGCTTCTCATATCTAAAATCAATAGTGTCGACGTAAAATTTGAGAAATCTCCCAACCGTTTGTCTGTTATTTCACACCACGGTTGTGGATATAATAAATACGCAAAGTCAAGAGCATAATTGCCATAAAAAAAAAGTTTATCTTCTTTTCATGTAAACATTTTCTTCACTCTCTCTTAGTTTTCGCACTATCTATATATAGTGCTCCCCATAACTGAAATCAATAACGTCAACATGGATTTGAGAAATTTCCAAACTATTTGGCAGTTGTTTCGCGCCATGGTGGTAGATATTAATAAATACCCAAAGTTGAAGGCACAAATAAAAAAAAATTTATTTTCTTCTTATGCAAACATTCTCTCTCTCTCTCTCTCTCTCTCTCACACACACACACACACAGATATACACAGTTTTGGCACTATCTATATATAGTGCTCCCAATATCTAGAATAAAAAAAGGTCGATGTAAAATTTGAGAAATCTCCCAACTGCATGTCTGTTATTTCGCACCCCGATGGTAGATATAATAATAAATATGCAAATTCAAAGGCACAGCTGTAAATGAAAAAAGTTTATCTTCTTTTTATAGAAACATTTTCTTCACTCTCTCTCTCTCTTAGTTTTCGCACTATCTATATATAGTGCTCTTCATATCTAAAATCAATAACATTGACGTACAATTTGAGAACTCTCCCAACTGTTTGTCTGCTATTTTGCGCCACGACTGTGAATATAATAAATACGCAAAGTCAAAAACATAATTGCAAAAAAAAAAAGATCTTCTTTTTATGTAAACATTTTCTTCACTTTCTCTAAGTTTTCGTACTATCTATATATAGTGTTCCCCATAACTAAAATCAATAACATTGACATGGATTTGATAAATTTCTCAATTATTTGTCTGTTATTTCGTGCCACAGTGGTGGATATAATAAATATGCAAAATCAGAAGCACAGTTGTAAATAAAAAAAGTTTCTCTTATTTACGTGTAAACATTTTCTTCACTCTCTCTATATTTATACTATTTTTTTTTGTTACAGGAAAATCCTCCCTCCCTTTCGGCAGGTCCAAGGTAGCGCCCCTTGCAGAGATCAACAGGGTGTCCTGTTAGCCGTTTCGAGCGAGGAGACTATAACTTGAGAACTTGCCCCGACCTCCCAGACAAGCTCCGCTTAAGTTAGGACTCGCAGAGCGGAAGAGCATTGAACCCACACCAAGTGCTGATTAGACAACTTGAGGTCCAACCTCCTAACCAAGTGTTGATTAGACAACTTGAGGTTCCCCGACCTCCCAAGACAAGCTCCGCGTAAGTCAGGACTCGCACAGCGGGGGAGCATTGAACCCACACCAAGTGCTGATTAGACAACTTGAGGTCCAACCTCCTAACCAACTGTACTTCGCCCAGGAGATTGGCCCAAGGGGAAGGAAATTGAACTTGTGACCTTGGGGCTTAAACCCCAAGCCTTAACCACAATGCCACCCACCCTTAGATTTATATTTATACTATTATTAAATGTAAATACGTCACTTGATATTCATGAATTTTTTTCCTCTTTTTGCCAAATAATCTTCTCTTATTGCACAAGTGTCAATTTCTCCATTTAAGAGAAAAAAAAATAAAAAAATAAAAAATTTAAAGGGTGGTTTGAGATTATCTAAGTAAGTGTACTTTTTAACTTTTTATGAAATATAGGTTGGGTATGAATTGGGTTTGAAGTGATGTGATAGAGAGATGATGTGATTTAAATAAGATAATGTGACTTAAGATAGTGATTTTTTAACTTTTTAACTTTTTTAAATTGTGACAAATAAGGCTTAAATCTAAAATCATTCGCTGACTAAAAATAATACTTTAATCACTTAAATAAAATAAAAAATATATTATCAATTTAAAATTAAAATTTAGGGGGATGCACCAATAAATCCCAAATTAATAACTTATACACTGTTTAGTCCTAAAAATTTTCTTATAGACTGAAAGGTCCCATTACAATGTTTCAAACATCAGATTAATGTTTCAAACATTAGATTTCGAACATCAGATTAATGTTTCGAACATTAGATTTCGAACATCAAATTAATGTTTCAAACATTAAATTGATGTGCAAATGGAACTAAATAGAGCATAAGAAAACTTTTATAAATAAATGGTTCAACTTTTCAGAAACTAGTGCTTATGGGTAAATTTTCCTAAAATTTATTTATATCTTAAAGACACCGATCAGGTGGGTCACACCCTAGTGTCGATAATACCTCTCTCTCTCTCCCTCTCCCTCTCAGTTTTCGCACAACCGTTGCAGAGGCTGTCTTCCATGAAACCCTAAATTTTCGATTTCACAACTCTGCTCAGAAACCACAAATGAATAGCTATTGAATCGTCTCTACAATCTCCAGGTACGATCGATTCAATACCTATCTGGTTATGTTAAATTCACAGATCATTCGAATCTCTTCACATTTCGCGATTTTTGTTGATGTTTCTACATAAATTTATCGACTCTCATCTTTAATTTTGTTCTCGGCAGCCAAAACGGTGATTGGCGATCTATCGTATAAATCTGTACGATTCAGATTTCGATATCGAATGCATTGAAGGATTGCGTGAATTAGCTTCGGTTGTCCTTGCTATTGATTTTTTTTAACGTAATTCACTTGATTCTCAGCACCATTTTCCTTCTTATTTACTTTCCTGTTATATATTTTCTCGTTTTATGTAGTTTTCCACAGTAACCAAACAGTCAGTTTTTCTTGCTAATTATTTAGATTGATGTTGCTGTCCAATGTCACTCGATCCAATAGTTTTGAAGTCTCCTTTGAAATCATTTTTGTTAGATCTGGTAGGTATCGTTTTATTGTTTGCCAAATTCGAAACTGTAATCGGTTTAATCTTCACATATTCTAACTTTTTATCGACTCAATTTGTATTTCTTTATATTTCTTTCAGCTGGCTTGTCAACCTAAGCAACTAGAATTTCGTTACTAATTCTCATTCGTTTTATAAATCCAAGTCCATTTTTTATTTTTTACTTTTATGTTTTCTGTTATTTGAGTATGCTGTAATTGTTGATTGGTGTTCTCTGATTGTTTTGAGTTCTCTTGACAAGAATTTTAGTTTGTGATGATAGGAGGCATTCTAAGTGTTTTGTTTGATACGATTAGATTCTAATTTATTTAATTTCACATATTTGCTTATGTTAATGCATAAATACATGACATGCCTTTTTTTGGGCCTCGTTTATCTTTCCTGATTATGTTTTCACATAGTTCATTAGATTCTCAGCTCTGATTGCTATTTGTATTACTTTCCTTTTACACATTCTTCTCTTTGCTGAAGTTTTCTCAACAATGTAACAGTCAGTTTGCTTGCTTAGTTTCTGAGGAGAATGGGGTCCTCATCAAATGGTAGCCTATGTGAAATAAGTTTGAACAAAAGGCCGTTGGAGAATGGTTATTGCACTTCTTCCAATATTATGCTCAAGTACAAGAAGCGGAAGGTTTCTGCTATTCGCGATTTTCCACCTGGGTGTGGACGGAATGCTCCGCGTATCAATCAGTTGCCCCATAATACTGAGGCAGCAGCATCACTTGGTGATAAAGAGAAGTTGGTGGCTGATGAAAAGATGGTAAATGTTGCAAACAGTGATTGTACTAAAACTTCTGAAATTGGGAACGAATCATTTTCTCATCAAGTGGTGAATAGTCTGGGGAAGTTGGAAATGGTTGACTCATTGGATGATTTGGTTGGGAGAGTGGTCGCTGCGGCTGGGGTTGTCAAGGTTGAATTGTCCCCTGTTAAGGAGCCTCTTGGAAGTGACTTGCCAAAAGTTTTAGTAATCAATGCACCAGAATTGCCAAAGGAATTGCATGAAGTGGAAGTCCCTGCAGTGGTGAAGAGTGATGCTGCACTGGAAAGCAAATCTGTGTTGGAGATTGGTTCTTTGGCCAATGGGATTGTTCCAGCTGGTGGTGCGAAAGTGTGGTCTCCGCCACAGTGGCCTATTAGTGATGCCAATATTTCAAAGGAGACCACCCTGAAAAATAACTATCCTAGGAGAAGAGTTTCAGCTACTCGTGACTTCCCTCCTTTTTGTGGAAGGAATGCTCTATGCCCAACAGAGGAAGAGCGCCTGAGAATTGTTTTTGGAAACAAGACTTCACATGATCTAGATAAGGCTCCTGTGCAAGGTGGGCTGGTAAGAGAGACAGTAAGAGGTAACGGGGAATGCAGTCCAGTGACAGAGATAGCAAGGACTTGTGTTGAAGAACTGCGTGGGGCTGTTCACGTTGGAAATTCCCGAAAGAGGGAGTTGAAAGAAAATGTGCCTGAACTAAAGATCAAGTCCCGAAAAGTTTCTGTGCAAGGCGGGCCATTGGTAGAGACACCAGGGGCTGATATGGAAGGCAGTCAAGTGAGAGAGACAACAGGGGCTGTTGTTGAAGAATTGGATAGGGATGTCCCAGATGGAAATACTAAGAAAAGGAAGCTGGAAGGAAGTGTGCCTGAACCGAAGACCAAGTCCCAAAAAGTAATCAAAAAGGATTATGAGGATGTTAATGGTGTGAAAGGGGAAGTGGGGAAGGAGATTGTGGTTTACATTCATGATAAGGGTTCTAAGAGTAGCCGTCCAGATGATGCTGTTGCTTTGGGACATGGTGCAGACAGGGTGATTGTGCAAGGCCTGATGGCTGCACCAAACTGTCCATGGAGGCAGGTAAAAGGAATTGTCAACACTAGCCAGGATATTGTGAGGACTGGAAGTGACGTGATGAGGCATGATGTCAGCTACATCACAGGGCGAAAGAAATCTAAATCTGTCAGCAGGACAAAGAAATATGAAGTGGATTATTCAGGAGGAAAATCTATGAAGAAGAAGAAATTACATCCATATAGAAACGATGCATATGAAAGTAAAGGTCAACTGGTTGTCAAGGATGAGGGAGATTTTTCTATACAAGAGCAAGATGAAGACTCTCTTGTGGCTCCGAGACCCCAAAATTTTGAGGTGGCTTTGCCTCCTTTTGGTCCCAATAGTTCGAGTCATGGTAATGCACGTGTCAAAGTGAGAGAGACATTACGTCTCTTCCAAGCCATTTGTAGAAAGCTGTTGCAAGGAGAAGAGGCAAAGCCAAGGCAACAAGGATGCCCAAGCAAAAGGATTGATCTGCTGGCGTCACAGATTGTCAGAGCTAAAGGAAAAGAAGCAAACACAGGCAAAAATATAATAGGATCAGTGCCTGGAGTTGAAGTTGGTGACGAGTTTCAATATAGGGTGGAGCTTGCTCTTGTTGGCATTCATCGCCTTTATCAAGCAGGTATTGATTACATAAATCAGGGTGGAATGATCATTGCGACAAGTATTGTTGCCTCAGGGGGTTATGCAGATGATTTGGACAACCCGGATGTTTTAATATACTCTGGGCAGGGAGGAACTGCAGTAGGTCGGGATAAACAACACGAGGACCAGAAACTTGAAAGAGGGAACTTGGCTCTGAAAAATAGTATTACGGCGAATAATCCTGTTCGGGTAATCCGTGGATCTAAAGAGACAAAAGCTTCTAACTCGGAAGCAAGAGCCAAGATAGTTCTGACAACATACATTTATGATGGCTTGTATACAGTGAAGAGGTACTGGCATGATGTAGGGCCACATGGTAAGCTTGTGTTTAAGTTTGAGTTGACGAGAATTCCCGGCCAACCAGAGCTTGCTTGGAAAGAAGTGAAGAAATCAAACAAATATAAAATACGGGAGGGTCGTTGTGTTGATGACATATCAGGAGGGAAAAAAACTCATGGATTGAGAGTATTTGGTGCAAAAGCTCAAGAACTAGAGAGAGAGAGAGAGAGAGAGAGAGAGTAGATCTAGTGTTTTGGAATGTTTAGAGAGAGAAAGAGATGAAAAAGTGATCAAAAAGGTCTTCCTCTCGAACTAATATCCGCATAGACTACTCGAGTGAAAGAATGGTCGTTCAAGCAACAGACATAAAAAGAAGATACTGCTCAAGTGACCAAAATCACCGCTCGAACGCACAATGACATCTTCCCAGTAGTTTCAGACCTGCAAAAGTTCGCTCAAGTGCAAGAAAGACCGCTCCAGCGAAGAATCCAAACTCCCAGTAGTTTTACAGACTATAAAAGACCGCTTGAGCGAAGGAATAGTCGCTCGAGCGAACAAGGAAAATTCTGGGCAACAACACTTTGAAAACTAACTTCCCAACTTGTTTCAAACACAACCAAATCCCCCAAAAGCCAAACTCAATAAACAACAAGATAGAAATGAGTTGAACAACAATTAAATATATAGGTTCTCGGATCCAAAAGCAATAAATGGGTCGGGTCTAAACCAGAATCATTATATGTAATATTTTCTTGCTCTCTCATTTGGTTTGTAATTATTCTTTCAAGTGTTGTAATAATT